AAAAAAAAACACAACATGTTCAACAAACATAAAGTAAATGATACAAGATGTAAAGCGACCAGTTCATATTCGTCTTTATAACTTCCAGCCTTTCATTATCCGGGGGAGGGACTTCCCAGGCTGCTGCAGATGCGATTGAACAGGCAGTACAGGCTGTGCGTATACACATATGACATACACTTTTTGGGATAATAAGTGACTGTATTTATTCTGCGCTTTTATCATAAATGACATAATTTATTATATTTATTATTATTATTATTATTATTATATTTACTGAGTATTACAAAGAGCAAGGTCTGGGAACGATTTAAAGAATTTTACATACATTAAATTACAATTTTCTATTCATAATTCATAAATGTTCTGGTTTAGAACGTCCTGATAACGACATGGCTGTTATAATAATAATGTTACTACACGTACTGTTTCTCACGCTTTTTCGGTTTTTCACGTGTACGTGTGTTAATTCAAAACAATATCAACATCTTGTCATATTTTATTACATTACTCATTTTGTTTTATTTCAGAACATCCCAGTCATAGGAGCAGCGGGAAATGGTGGTTATGATTCATGCAATACTGTACCCGGAAGCGCACCAGAAGCGTAAGTAAAACCCTTTTTTTTTCTCGTACGCTTAAATAATTTATGTATAAGCTTCTTATACACCTCTTTTTCATTACTTCTTTCATCATTCTGTTATATGGCAGACAGTGACAGCAAAGCTTTTCTGGTGGACGTAAATTTAGTTCACAAACAATTTAAAAATCTAAATATCTAAACATCTTGCTTACACACACACACACACACACACACACACACACACACAATAACAACAACAACAACAACAACAACTCACGTGCGGCTATTTTAAGACACACTTATTTACCCAAAAGGATAAAAAAATAATGCACACGCACGCATGTATGTATCTTATGCAACAAACACGCCACATGATGCAATTATGTGATTACCGTATATACAGCACATCCTATATTCCAGTGACATTGAGGATGCTTGAGGTGATGTTCTTCTGTTCTTTTCCTTTGTTTTAGTATCGTAGTGGGCGCGGTGGATAACCAATTTGCATTTCCTAGTTCAATATCGAATTACGGAACATGTATTGACATCTTAGCTGCCGTAAGTTCGGTTGTTGTTCTAGAAGCTTGCATGGTTTAGAAATATAATTTAAAATGGCGAGTACGATATGTTTTACGAAAATCTTGAAATAAAATTTACGTTATTTTGTAATTATGTTTTGTGTGTGTGTGTGTCGATGTATTTTCCAGTAGCTAGCTCTTTTGCCTATGTCTCCTTTTCCAGGGTGTGGATATCTTAGGTGCTAGCAGTTTCGGTCCAACTGCAACCACCACAAAATCCGGTAAGTTTCCCAGCTTTCTCTTCACACAAAGTAAGATATTCAGTACATCACCTCAATGTATGACATAATGTGTGGCTTTGATTTCTCTCTCTCTCTCTCTTTCACACACACACACACACACACACACGCGCGCGCACGCGCGCGCGAGCGCACACACACCATGTTGTTATTAATGTGCCTATTGATGTACAGGTACCTATCGCACTATATCCTTAGCATTTCTATCGTTACAGGAACTTCCTTCGCGACAGCTTATGTGGTAAGTACAACCATATCGCCTCTCATGTACTGATATTTTACATTAGTTCTCATTAATATCCATGTGTTGTATTTTGCCTTGCATCTTACAAAACAATGATAATTGAGTCATTGTAGGGTTTTTTACATTCTTCATACTTACTCTTAGTTTTGAAAATTGGGTCTAGGACGCATTAAGTTGTCTTGATTCTGACACTAAGAAAAATTTCCAGCTTCATATTAAGCCTGGCCAATCTTCCCTAAAACACTGAAAGTCTTCATCTTACGTAATCGACTCAAAACGTTTTTGCACTTATAGCTAAGACCCAACAAACGCCTGCCTTTTCGTGAAGCATGTCTTAATTTGCTACATTCTGTTGAAAATGCTGCTTTACAACGTGCAGGCGGAATAATACCACAAATTTACTAATCCCATTATCCAGACCGTGTCAGGCAAATACAATTCATCAATATAATATATGTACTACACTGTAAAGACAAATGGAATGGCATTCAGACTAATTAAAAAGCCTGTTGTTTTCACGGTTATTTCAGACGGGTGTGGTCAATGACTATTTAAGTGCTGTTCCATCGGCTTCAGTATTAACGGTGAAACAGTTTCTATCTGGTTGGTAAGTCTATCCGCCTTGAATACTCTAAAGGGGGATGAACTCCCTACGCGAAGTTCATTGATAAGTGTGACATTTTGCCTATTTCACACACAGTACATTTTAAACAATTTGTGAACCGATTGTGAGTCACTACATACCTTGGCTTTCTTCGTCCCAAATGCGCACACGAGATAAATAGCACAAGTACAGAGCCATGGTGAGTTACAATTGAGATTGACATAGCATGGAGAAAATGTGTACAATATGTCTTTTCAGGGCTACCAGAAATGCAGTGAGCAACGTTCCTAGTGGCACGGATAACGTTTTATTGTATGTTGGGTGTTTTTGGTAGTTAGTGACAAAAAAAAAAAAGGATGAAAGGAATTCAGCTGTCAATTTCCAATAACTTCAACTGAAATGGTAAAATAGTGTAACATTTCTGAATCTGCAACAAAGCAATTGATGCAACACCAAGTCTGGCGCTTTTCCAAACGTTTGCTGTTTGTTCCCTGTACGGATTACGGGCGACCTCGGATTTTGCTCTAGGACTGACCAGATTATGAAACGACCTTGGATACTGGCGGACTTCGAGTTACGGAATTACTTCTTTTTTTGCGGCAACGTTGGCTTACAGAGCAATCTCCATAACAGTAAAACCTGAAAACTATCTTTATGGAAAAGCCCCTTCTGTTCTCTTGAATAATCATTTGCACTAAAGAAAATCCTGTATATATTGTTTATCTTTCCATTCATTTCGTATTTCTGAGGTTCATGATGTGAGTCCTACTAACACACGGCCAACTAGCTTACATGGGTGGCGACAAGTCTTTCGATAACTATGAAAAACGATTGGTTTTTGGATGGATAGGTATAGTTTTATTTCATCTAGAAACCCTACTCATATTTTACATGGCAGAAATATGTGTCTACCTGTAATGTACACTTTATATTAATGTGTGTGCTTAAAAATTTTATCAATGACACCGTTTCATGATCTGCACTCATATTGGTGGGCTTAATTAATCTGCACTCATATTGGTGGGCTTAATTAACGTTCTAAAAATGTGCAATTACATTTGATTCAAATAATGCACCGTGTAGTTCCACAACCTAAGGCTAAGATCTACAATTGTATGTACTTTCGTATTAAAGCTCTCTTTAACTGTTGCATGTTAGTTTCGAAAATGAAATAAAATGATATAGTTAAGAGGCACATTTTTTGCTTTGTTTATAATGACCACTGACAGTATGTTCTCGAGTGGACCAATAAAGTCAAAATAGTAGAGATGCTATGTTTTGACCACTTTTAACATTCAATGGACTTTTTCTGCAAAATGAAAGCAACTGATTGTTTAAAATTAGCAAACAATTTACAGCAACATGAATGATAATAGCATGGTAAATAATAACAATGTAATATAATGATAAAAGATAAATGAATAAAATCGATTGACAAGACTGACATATAATAATAAAGGGTTCAATGTCACGTAAAATATCAATGGGGTGAAACCTAAATAGAAATATGCTTCTTGCATGCCTCTTCACCACTTTGTGTGTAATAACAAATGTCACACAGAAGATCATTTACCGTTTTCAACCACTGTCATTTCATACAGATCATTCTCTTGCATGATCACTTCTTCTGGTGCTTCGTCCATTTCCGGTTCTGGTTTTGAACCGTTGCCTGCGGTTGGGTTTTTCTCTCGTGTGTCGTCCTCATTTCTCCCAGGGCTGGGGTTCATTACGCCTAATTCAGTATTCTCGTATGCTTGTTCACTTGCCTCTGCATGTCTGTCTTCTACGGTCGCGTGGGCTGGATCATCCATGGGCGATTCGTGAAGTTTCTTGGATTTTGATTTTTTAACAGGATGAGCATACAGCTGGTCTATATTGTCCACATTGGACGTTTCACTGTCTTTTGACTCTTTACCATTTTCCAAAATGTGCGAGTCACGGCCTTGATTGATTTTGATGGAAGCATTCATTTTGTCTGTCTTAATTTCTTTTTCTATCCCTTCATCTCCCTCTCCTCGAGCAGGCGGTGCCCCAATTATATCTACGTCCTCGTAGGCTTGGTTCCGAAAACCTGCCTCGGGCTTTGGACATAATAACGATTTGTAATATTGACCTTGTTCGGGCTTACCAGGACTCTTTGTCTCGTCACTTAATGGAACGTAAGACATACGGAAGTTCTCAACCGTGGCGCCGCCTATGTTTTCCTCTCCAAGATCTGACCCCTGCTTCTTTTGTTTCCCAAATGTCACGTGCTCCGGGCCGTTGTCATCTGCTGCAGCAAGAGATCTTTGACTTTTCACGGATAAACCTCGAAGCTTTCTTTCCAACCAAGCGTCCGCGTCAAAACGTCTTGTTCCTGCCCCTTCTAGTTGGTGCCTGTAATCAGTGAATCTTTTTCAAAGAAGCGTTACCTCTAATAATGCGCAACAAATATATGCAATATACAGTCTTGTGACAGAAATAATTTTGCTCTTAATCGTGTTCCATGATACTTGTACTTAAAAACGCAACTTTAAAAATGACGTGTATATGTTTCAAAATCGAGCACGTGTACACACATGTTGTACATTTTTAATTTTTGTTTGTTCTTTTTTTAAATATCTGATTAAACTGCACGTTTGCATAGACAATCGGTGGGTTAAAAAAGAAAGAAAATATAAAAATAATCTTGTTTCCTTAACAAAAAATAATAAAATAAAATAAAATAAAATAAAAAAAACATTCCGACAATGGCACAATACTCATTATTATTACCCTCGTCGCTTTTGGCAGCAAGCCACCATGATGATACCCGCTATAAGAATCACAACCCCATAGCTACCAAGTACACTGATAAGTATGATACCTAAAATGAGAATATGACACACAGTGACCAGGACAACCACAATTAATAACGGTGTTTGAAAAACTGCAAAGTAATGAGGAGAAAACATTTCAATCAGTATTCTTTTTCTTTACTTTCATGAATAAAAAAGTCATAGCTCGAAAGGTCTACGAAGGTCACATGTTTAGTCAGATTTGCTTTAAAAGCTTAGCATCATCACATCGGGAAAACAACAACAACTACAAGAACAATAATAATAATAATAATAATAATAATGAATAAATGAATAAACACAATTGCACGAAAATATGACGAAGTCTATTTTGCCAACTTAGGCTGTATTCCCAAAGCTTTTAGATCGACCTATCCCCGCGGGGAGTCTCACTAGATTACTGTCAGATAATCCGGCTTAAATGTCCGTCCCGCCTACTACAAGCTGTAAGGGGGTAATTAACTTTCGTGTCCGCTCGGCTGATGACTATTTAGCGTGAACCCCCAGGGAGTTAGGTCGATCTAAAGTAGATCGATCTAATCTCCGGAAATGGGGTCTTAGGGAGTTTACCATGTAAGGGGTAGGATGATTTCGAAGTATGATAATAATGTTAAAATTTCACAGAGAAGCTCAACGTGTAACGTTTCGTATCAGCTGGAGATACTTTATTTACATGTACAGTCATGTTATGTTTCCATTAATGTGTCTTCAAAATTACACACCACTGGAGCTGTGCACATATTTATACCATCATTTGTGTATTAGTTACAGTTGAAATAGTTGCTGTTTCAAATGTTGTCTTACCTGTCGTTGTAATTGCTGTTGCAGATGCTGCAGTTGTTGTTGTACTCATTGTTGTGGTTGTATTCGACGCTGTTGTTGTTGCACCCATTGTTGTGGTTGTATTCGACGCTGCTGTTGTTACACTCATTGTTATGGTTATATTCGACGTTGCTGTTGTTACACCCATTGTTGTGGTTGTATTCGGCGTTGCTGTTGTTGTATCCATTGTTGTGGTTGTATTCGACGTTGCTGTTGTTGACGTTGCTGAAACTGATGTTGAATTCATTATAAACTACCCAAATTAATTTGCACAGGATACTGTGTCGTTTTGTTATCTAAGAAACCCCCACCATCACAACAAAGCAAGTAGATAGGTATCTATATACGACTTGCATTATTCGAAATGTGCGATGTGCGCATAACCGGAATTGTGCACTGCAGGGGTCAAAATAGTACCGGAAGCGTTGTTGACAGCGATAGGAACACCTGATGGAAGCATAAGACGTGCCGTGGGCGATATTAAACAAGCCATTTGAGGCGACAACGGTGCCGAAGTTGAAACGTTGGTTAAAATGTAGGATGCCCACACATCAGGCAAAAAAGAAGAGCTGATAAAAAAGGTATGTTACACGATATTTTCTTAAATACAAGACCAAATACAAAACCCTAATGTGGTCATTATGTAATTATGTTCACCTGAGTCATTTATTGGGGAGATAAATTTGTCACCTGGTTCAGGCAATTATCTGATACAATCTCCGAGGTGGGCTGTGCACTGTACAGGTAATTAGTACAAGCTCAACGTCAATATCAGTGCATTAATCTTTGTTTTCACTTCATTATCTTTCTGTTGTGTATCCAGGTAGATTTCGATTTAAAAAAATATGACTAGTCATGTCAATTTTCTGTTTTGTCATCAGTCTAATATGTATGTATGTAAATAAATCACTATTATAGATGTGTTGATGATGACTTTAATAATTATTTTCATGACTATTTTTTACTTGTTTTATAGATGTAAACTGTACAGTGAGGAC